TTCATACCATACTAAGAGCTGAAGAAATACAACATGCTCATATTAACAGCTTCCGCCTTGAATTTCTGTAAGCATTTCCAGAGAGAAGTTGGTCTTCAAAATACATCTCTTCTTGCTTGGCTTTGAACCTTCTATTGTAAAACACTTCTAAACTAAGTACAATAAAATCCCATCTTAGTATCATCAGTAGATTAATCAAGTGGAACAAACAAGAATATAATACTGTGTTTTGCAAGTTTAAAAGTTTCATCTGCCTGATACCTCTTCTGAACTTAAAGGAATAATAAAGATCATGTATTACATGTGTCCTGTATCACATAAAGGGAGAAAACAGTTCTGGTACTGGACCCTTTTGCATAGCTATCCATTGTATGGCAACCAACTCCAGACTCTTCAGCCAGTCCTGGATGGCTAAGATCAAGAGTGGAAATTTACACCAACCCACAGAAAATTACCTGTACCAACTGAAACAAAATAATGCCTTTTTACTCCCCTTGGTCACTCCAAAAACGTGGGTGCAGACATACACATACGCATTCACATATGCGTACGAATGCACGTTTACATATGTATATAAATTATGCTTAAAAAAGACACCCTTCCCAGTGTTTTATAGATGAAAGCATCTTCCAGAAGATGGAGGATATGCCTATAAACATCACTTCTGCTGTAAATCATGATGTCTTTCACAATGTTTTTCACATGTAACTTTTCACAGTGAGAAGAGTTACTCCACCAAGAAGAAAAACTTCAAAGCAAATAGTCTGTTCAAATCTGTGAATTCTTAAGTGAATAGTAATAAAGAAAGAAATAATATGTTTCCAAGAAAAAGAAATATGACTGTCAAAAATTACTTTTAATGCAGTTTTTGTGGGTTTGGTTTTGGTTTTTTTAGATATTAAAAGAACAGTGTCTCTTTTATCTATCTGAATATTAAGACTGAAGGAAACTCCAAATAGAAGCTAGGTCTAGCTATTCTTTTAAAATAATCTGCCTGTAATATGAGCAGAATTAATTGCTCCATGAAATAGCATATTTAAAGCATTCTGCTCAGAATTTAAAAAATGCCTAAGGTACAGCAGACAACTCAAGTGACTTGACCTCTGAGGCTTGAATATTAAAGTCTCAACTCAGCCATTATCATAAATAGCAAGAATCAATAATGCTGTCGCTGATGCAAACTCTTCATGCAATTTAAGTATCTACAAGACATGAAATCTGGAAAGATTCTTTGTGAAGAGAATTTTTATCCTTCTTGCACATCCCTTGGCACCACACAACAAGCAATCTTTCCCAGTGCAGCCACATGTTAATGCATGTGCCCTAAAACCTGGTTTCCACCTCTACAATTGGAGCAAGGTAAACATTGCTTGTCATAAATTCCACTTTTCCCAAGATACTCTTCTTCAGGTATTTCATCTAAATTACTCTATCATGAAACATAAAATAGTTTTCTGTTTAAAATATGAATCAATTTACTTTCTTATTTGGATTTGCGGCTTATACCTTAAAAACCTTAGACCTATTGAATCTTAGCCAGTGTTTGAAGGCAAGACATCCTGTTATAAACAAGACTCATTTCTATTTCAGAAATCTTCTTTGCAGAGAATATCAGTACATATTTTCCAGGTTTTCATTCTCTTTCATGAACTGATCATAAAATAAACCATCATACTTAAAACTACAGCAGCATGCATTTTCTACTTTTTCATTTTACAAGCAGCTGTAAAAGTTCCAGCTACAGAGGAGCTACACATATGTGTTCAGGGTGTGTATTTGTAAACTTGCTGAAGCTGCTGAGTAAGTGTTATAGCAAGTTACACCTTTTAAATACACAGACAGACATAAATAGAGATATCCACTGTAAAATCTTTAACATTCTACAGCAAGATTACCAAAATGCAAGAGCTTCAGTCCACTTTAACAAGGACAAGCACCTTGTGATGTGGGAGCCATTGGGTTGGGTGAGGCTGAAGCTCTGTCTAAGGGAGGGAACATCCTGTAGCAGATGACTGGAGAAATAAAAACACAGGGCCGTTATTCTTCCCTAGTGTGTCTTCTCAGTCTCTGGCTTTCTTCATTTTATATTTTGAATAGCCTTCGTTGATTTTGCCCCTAACAGTTTATCTGATCTTGGAACAGAAGTTAAAGGCTGTGGAAACTGTGCCACTGTTTAATTATGTGTTAGGTGGCTCAGGACAAATCACTCCTCCCCTTGCTCTGCTAAGAGGAGAATACAACATTGCCTGCTATTGATTTTCCCATGCCACTTATGATTCTGTAGGCATCTCTCACATCTCCTTTTGGGCTGAGGAGTCTTGTTCCATTTAATAATTTGTAAAAGGACATTCTTCTATACTTGTGGCCATCTTGCTGCTTCACTCTGCATATTTGCAGGACCATACCTGCACCCACCTGGAACTCAAAATGAAGATACGTGCCAGCTTTATGCACTGGCATATGAATGACTTACACTCTGCTTTTTATTCCTTCACCACTAATCAGCTTGAGTTTTCTTGTCATGTGACTTTTTTTTCATCTGAAAAATTGCATAGAACTATGTATTATAACTCCAACATCAGCTTCTTGGATGCAGTCTTCAGAGGTGTTGTGTGCTCAGACAAACTTCTTAGAAAGAAATGTGAGGAGTGAACATTTATGTTATGAGGCTACCAGCTCCCAAGAGCTTTTAATTGCTTGTGTGATTCTTTTAATATTGACTGTTTGGGCATAAAGCAACAGGTAGTTAAAGAAAAATTATGTTTGTCTAGAGAAATACCATTTTTCTACTGATTAACTGGATATACAGGTTTTGTCCTTTGTCATTCATAATCTTTCCAAGTTTCTTGACTGCACTAGGGAACTTAGGCTGCAGTAAAATGAAGAGTGATAAAAAGTTGCTTTTCCCATAACAAATTTTTCCACAACAAAAACATCAAGTAAACTTGCTCTTGGAATATTATGTTTTCTACAGGTCGCATCTGTGGATACTGACAACGCTTCTCTCACTTTCTGATAGTTTTATTTCCCTAAAATCCTTTTTCTAATGTAGCATGTTTAGTTGTTTTCTTGAAACTGAATCTTGAATTTTGAGGGAAGGTGAATTAACCTCTGAAACAGATGAGTTTTACTTCAAATGCTAATGAAATAACATATGAATTAGAAATAAAATTTAATTCAGTAAATGAACAGGTTACTTGGTTTGCATCACATACTTTTTATTTATTTTGCACATCTATGTGAAGTTATAAATACTAGGGCTGTAGGTGGTTCTTCTGGTAAACAACGTTTTCTGTTCTAAGCCTTCATTTAAATGTCATCTTTGAAATACATCTCCAGTTTGGAAAACAGAACAGACTAAAATAATTTTCAATAGCTCTGCAGCAAGAATTGTCTGCAGTTCTGCATTGCTGGGTAAAAAATATCAAAAGATATATTGCATGCATGCCCAAGAAATCAAATGAAAAAAAAAAATAATAAAAAAATTTACTTTTAGGCTTTCCTAGCTGCATATTGTACATTGGAGGTGCCACTCTGTAACTGTCAAAATAAGCTTACTGCATTTATGTTGTATTGCCACAAATGAAAACTCAAATTCAGGTGTAATCTTGTTAGCCCAAGTACTCCACCTGATTTATGTATTCAGCACTATTCTTGGGCAACAAACCATTTTTCCTGTGGTAAATACATTTTTTTACTTACACTCAAAATACTGTTGTTTCTGTGGTCAGTCTGTCTCCAATTTTATCCATCCATCTTAACTCCTAGGTGCTTTAATGCTCTCAGCTCTGTTAGTGAGATGCCAGAGAAGAAAGCAAATTTGTCACTTGTGAAGGAGCATCACTTGTGGGGGATACATGTTTTGTTTGAGATGCCAAATTGATAGCACTTGATAGAAGGTTTCAAAATTCAAAGAAAGGATGCAGCGTAAAAACCAAAAAGTGAAGATTTCCATGTAGTGTTTTGTAAACATGTCATGAAAGAACCAGCTTGAGGGCTAAAATAGTAGATGAGCCTATTCTGAATTCAACCTCTGACATTTTCCCTATGAACTTGCAGGAAACTTGTCATTTAGCACTAATAACAGCCCTATAAGAACATCCAGGAGGTCCATATTCCATCTCTGCATGATGCAGACGAAAGTCATTCATTCCAAGTCAAAAAGCCATTAGATACAGTTTTTACAAATGAAAAGTGAATTGTCTGACATTTGAAGAGAATGAACATTTCCCATAAAAACTGAAAAATATCTCAAGAGAATAATTTGATCATTTTGTCAAAAAGTGGTGCCATGGCCTTTGGATTTAAGTAGTGGCTGCCAGGGGAAAAATCCAGCATTGTTGTAACACAGACAGAAGGTTGGGAGCTCACTTATGTATTAGTTAACCCCCGCTAGTGGAAACAGCATCTTAACATGCACTGTACCATACTAGGATTTTTCACCCTGATCACAAACAGATGCCCTGAATTCATACACTGAAATTTGTTTGACAAGATAACATCCTTGATAATCACTAACTTCACAAAGTTTTATATAGGTGCATCCAAGCTGCATTCAGAAGTGATACAATTAAAATTATTCTGACCTTTAATTATGAATGTTATTTTGTTAGAAACAGTAACAGGATGTCCTGGGATTAATTTGGCGTAATACAAATGCCAAGTAAAAAGACATTTAAATTTTTTAATGTTAATCTTTTTTATGTAACTTTTAGAGTGAGGCCCCAGGGTTTGACAGAAGAGCAAATTAAGCTTTGAATTGAAGACCAAATCTACACCTGGGCCAAGTGTGCCACACTCAGACCCAGCTCTGAGGTCTCTGCCATGCTGTGAAATCTGCAGGTCTTAGCAAAGGCAACTGCTCTTTGCAGCATCAGTTGGGTGCCCAGACGGTCAAAACTCGGCATGGAGATCAAGGAGGTGCCCAGAGACGTCAGGGGTGTACCACAGCTCTTCCTTAAGCCACCCAGGCCTCAGTCTTCTCGTTTCTTGCCCTTCAGGTGTTCCAGGGAAATTTTGACAACGACACACACCGTAAGAACGTCATCGACCCTCCGATCTACGCCCGGCACGTCCGCATCCTCCCGTGGTCGTGGTACGGTAGGATCACCCTGCGGTCGGAGCTGCTGGGCTGCGCGGTGGAGGACTGAGGCACGTCTCCCTCCGGCATCACAGCGCTCGGTGTAGCTAAAAGCCCCTCCGTAGAAGAAACTGTGCAAAGCCTGTAGGATGCTGGGTGATCATGTTCACTGTCATGAACAAGTGCTCATTTTATGGTAGGCCGCTAACTGTCTTTCGCAAGGAGGTCTAAGCCTGCCCTTTAAATGGTCCAATCCGATTTTGCCCTTGAAATCTGATAGTGTTGTCCCTTCTGCTGTGGAATCTTTCTAGTTTTCCTTTGAGTTGTTCACACTAGTTGAAAGTGTTAGGGAAAAAAACAGCAGCATCCTTTTTACAAGAGAAGAGAAATAGCATGACAAAGCTCATTTGCAGCTTTAGAAACGTTGGGCTGACAAATTCTCCATAAATCACATTGTCATCTTACTTGCAAAAAGTGATACTGCAGCTTTTAGCAATAAGTTTACTTGGGGATGACTGCATTATAGTAATTGTGCCTATCAAACACTGTCAGTATTTATCACATATATTTTGGAAGATACTCCATGGTACTGTAAAATACAGTACCTGTGATATTACAAGCTACCTTTCATCACTTTTGTCTGAACAGCAGAGTCAGTGCACCTAAATGGTTTTCCTAACTAACCCCATTTTCCTTCTCTAGCTTGCATGCTATGGACATGACCTCCATCTTTTCTGTTTGGTATTGCCACTAATGTTACTTTCCTTGAAAGAGGTGATCTGTTTTCATATAGAACAAAATCTGCTATCAGTATATTATGAAGTTAATGAATCTGCCAAAGTTTATTAATTCTGCGTGACAGGCGCTTTTTCAAGGAGGCTGGGGTGAGGCGTCAGGATACTTGTGTCATCTCATCTTAAGCACACCTGGCATCAGAAATCATGAGCCCCTTTCGTGACACAACCCTAGATGGAGCTGCCAGCCCAATTACTTCTGTCAGAAACATCCTTAATTTCTGGTAGGGGGTAGATGTGGGGTCAAGGAATCAGATGCTAAAAGACACACAGGAGGAATGACTCCCTTACTGCCAGGAAGACCCCTCAGTAGGCTTTTCTTGCCATGGTGGTCAAAAGCCTCTCTCCCAGGCATGAAGGCACAAGGTGTCATAGGAGTTCATCAAAGCTGGGCCCTTGGCACACTCCAATCCCAAAAACATCCTTTCAGACACGTAGTGGTGACCCATGAGGGAGGCTGCTTTTATCGTGCTTCGTCTACAGAAATGCTTCACACACACCATGTTGTTTTAACATTTTTAATAGACATCAAGGAACCCAGTTTAAAAGTAGACTTTAGCAGGAAAAGTGGAGCAGTAGGGAAGACATCCTCCCCCGTGCCTCAGTTTCCCCTGCTGATAATGATACCAACTGCTATAGAGCACTGCAGGTTTCCTTGGAATAAAGTGCTCTGTGACTATTTTAGAGTAGTACCTACGTCTACAAAAATCCCGAGACAAGGAACGATGGAACTTTCTGTCTGTTACCTGAAATAACAGCATTTGGCATTACAACCATTCTTTTGATTTCATAACATGCTGATGTGGAGAGAGATGATAGATAGGTATATAGGTAGGTAGATAAGTAGATAGATAGCTGCATGTTTTAGCAAATGTCACTGAACTTATTTTTTTTGCCACTGTTACATTCTCACTGAAACACTGAAGAATGAACCTGGGTGCTGCTTCCCAGCCAAACAACTAGTTGGCCCACAGTCTGTGAAGGGCAGTTTACTTTGGAAACAAAATGGTTTGGATTTCCAAAACCTGCATTCAATCACACATTCTCCACCACAGACAAAATATAGTATCCATTGAACTGTGAAAGACTCTAGAATAGCAGCCAGGAATTTTACATACAAGAATTGGGGATATATTGGTGGCGGTTTTCTGATAGTGTCACTTAAACTGTCACATTTTAACAAACAGAACACCCTGCCTCTATAAAATGACTTAATCTTTAAACTGTATTTATACAATTATTTATTTTATAAGGCTTAGACATTTAAAGACTTATAAAGAAGAGTCTTGTAAAGGTAAAAGTATGTGTAAGAAATGTTGAGGTCCTGTGCAACACTGCTAAGTTTGTTCTTTATTTTTTACTTTGTGCTGCATAACAAAAGCCACTAGACTGTTAATGTCTTGTCTGTAACTGTGTTAACAGCATTCCTTAACAATGTATATATGGAGTGGTCTTCAAGCACAGTGAGCAATTTTAAAGAGAAAGTCAATCATTATTGGTACTTACAAAGAGCAAAAGAATTCTGGAAATTGAAGGACAAGTTTTACTCTAAATTACTTACTGAGCATGTTTTGCACTCTTGGTGCTACAACACTAAAAATAATAATAAAAAAGGTAATATTTTTATCTTTAGACCACACACAATATTTAAAGATGACCAAAAACATTTTCCTACTATGGGAGAGTAATTAAACCTGAATTTAATTACAGATATGAAGAACAGCATGTCGCTATTTCACTAGTTATATGTACCCAAAAGATGGAAGGTCATTTCAGAAAATGAGGCCCCCTAGTCTACCAACTTTTTTTAATGTTCTTTTTAAATATTTGTTCTGTGTTCTGAAGTGACTTTTAAAATGTTATTCATTCTTTGCTACTTCAGTTTTGGCTTTGTATTAATCTTTCTTGGTTTTCTAATTTAATTGGTATCCAGACATCTGCATATAAAACCAGCCTTTTCATGATACTTAACATAATAATTATATTTTGTATTAATTTAGAGTTGAGTATTTTCATCCTACATCCTGTGTCAGGTTTCATCTGCCAGCAGTCTTCACGACCTGCAAAGAAAGCTTTATGCATCGTGGTAACATTGTTATCTTTTATAAAACATAATGTATGTGATGCCCTTATAATTTCAATTAACATACTGGGGTTTTTTCTAATGAAATATTCCTTAGGTGCCAAGTTTTCTTTCAGTGGCATTGTGTAGCCATAGTACCAAATTCTGCCCACAGTGTCAGCAGTGTATGTCTGAAATATTTCCTGATTTCTGTGGAGAAGTTCAGATTTAACAAAACAGATGAGAATCAGATTGTGGTCTAAAAGTAAAATTTTCCCCTTTAATTTTATTTCCCTGTCTTGGTAAGCACCACTGACATAAGGGGCAAGTTACAAATGAACATGACTGTACTCTCCCAGTGAAATCAACTGCTATCCCAAAACCAGAGTTAAGTGCAGGACAGGTTATGTCTTTTCAAGGGGGGGATGGAGAAACACTCTGAAATCTTTCTTGACTTCTGTATTAATTGTAACAATGGCATTGAACAAAACTGAGAATGTTCTCCTTATTAAATTTCACCCTGAACCAGTTAAGTATTAGTAGGCAGACTTAACCTTCTGTAGCTCTGTAACGTGCTACGTTTATGGCCTAGGGAATACAGCAACAGCACAAGGCTGTTTTCTCTGTGTTATGCTAAGGGCTCATCTTGTTAGCTGGCTCTGGTTTTGAGGTTGACTTTCTCTTTTGGAATGGCTGCATACAAATTAGTGGTCAGTCTTGAAGACTAAGGGTACTAAATGAGTGTATCTTTGCTATACAACAAATATGAAATATATTCAGTGCTGGCTTCTGATGTGTCAGTAAGTACAGAAGTATCTCAGACACAATGACCTTTGCAACCTTTCAAGCTGTGTAATATTCAAATGGTTTTGTATATACTTAAATCATGTAGAGCGATGTAAAACCAGTATGACCTTGTCTAGTCTTCAAACTTAACAATAAAACTTTTGAAAAATGAGGTTATTTTTGAAGCATTTATATGGCAATACCTTGAAGGAGATACAATTTATCTCAGCCTCACTGGCAGCAAATGTGCAGCAGAGGTATGATGTGACATTTTCCTGGTTCATTCATGGGGTCTTTGAGGTAGGTAAGTTTGTTTCTGGCAAAATCAACTGTGATGCTGCACTCCCTTCAATGTGTTCCCTTTGTTCTTTCAGATAAAAAAGCAAAGGTTTGAATGAGTCTAAAAATAGATTTCTGTCTTGCTGGTCTCTGAATGAGCACCAGAAATGTAAGCTGACAATTTCATTTCCTTCATTCCTTGGGATATTTATCAGTGTTTATGCTCTCTTCTGCAATCCTGCATAGGCAAATTCTGAAAAGATAAACAATGGCTGCTGTGCAGACCTGCTATGAGACTTCTAGGAGAGATGCTAAAGCAGGGCCAGTGCTTGCTCATGCCCTCGCCTTTCTTCACTTTATTTCTGTACAGCCTGCTCTCCAAAACTTCCTAGTTTAGTTAAATGTATCACTTCAATTTCTGAAGAAGCCTAGAGGTTGAAGTAGTGAGTGGAAAAGCTATTCACTTCCTGTTTTAAACAGTGAGGTTAAAAAAAATATATATATACATTTTTTTTGTACTCCTGCTACTTTTTGTAGCTTCAGTTCTTTTCTCCATACTGATCCAGAATAAGCCCATAGATGTACATACTTTTCTTCATATCCATTTCAGCTGGTGTCCTCTCACCAAAAAACATATGTTGAAGATAAAAACTGTCCACAAATATATCTTGATGACAGGTATCTTGTCACCCAAACATGCAGTCTGAGCACTAACGGCATGTCATCTTTCAACAGAAAAGTCACAGAATTGATGTTAAAGATTTTTTTTTTATTACATATCACTACCAGTCGTAAAAATGAGAATATAATAGTGCACAGGAAAAGATTACTTTTGGTGAATAATGGCTGAATGTTAGCACTTCAATCATGAATTTCTGGTAATAAACGTCTTGAATCTTTCTGACTTTTAATTATAAATTGCAACTCTTTCATGAAACAGAGGGCCTGTTCCTGAAGAAACGAAAAGTGATTTTTCCTCTCATTCTTCATAATGTAGAGCCCCAGGAACTCTAATGAAGACAATGAGAGAAAATAATGAGTAATTCTCTTCAGAATAGCAACTATTTATCAATGTCCATCCTCCCTTACCTGTTGCTAATGAGCTCAAGGAATTAACATGCATATCAACTCTCTACATCATTATGAAATATGTAGTCTCTGATACTTCTATGGTAAATACAATGATGCTTACTTGGTACTTTAGATTCAAATAACAAAAGGTTGATTTTCTCACTTAGTGATTGCTAGCTGACCTGTGATCACTGAGCCTTATGAAATAAAATACAACAAAAGATAATATTACTGATACAAACTTTTTCTTTTTTTTTTTTTTTTTTTTTTTTTTAAAGTTCATAATAGAGAAGTAAACTTCAGGATGCAAAAGACTGCCTTAAATTAGGAATATTAGACATACAAGGCAGGCTCGTATGTGTCTTTGTTGCATAGCTTTATAACTGCATTTATCACAAATTATCCTTCAATATGTATTAGCATTAACAATTGGGGAGGTGCAAATATATGTATTTAAAAGTTTCTGAACATAAGAACATGGAAACACGTCTAGATCTCAAAATTTAGCTTGCTAGGAGTGCAGTGAAATGTATGCGTTCGTAACAATACCAGTTTTTTGGTATA